GTTCAATTAGAATGAAAATATAATCTTATTTGGTCCTTCTTCTTTTTTTTCTCCATACCTAGCAGCAGCAAAAGAGATTGTTCGTTTTAAATGCTGCTGGAAGAATACATTTCCCCAAAACAAGGCTTCCTGGGACAACATCCCATGTCTATTTAAAAAAAAAATTAATATCCTTTTTACCTCTCTTTCTTTGCACAACCCTTCTGAATACTGGAAACGGACCTGGCTAATCAATGGCGAGGCACAAATCCTGTTGCCTATATAAGCTGCACCCACCTAGGTCTGAGTTTATGCCAGTTTCGCTAAACCCGCACCCACCTAGTTTTGCAGAGGACCCTCTGCAAAGGGCGAAGGGCTGCTAAAGAGGAATGGTAAGGCGAAAGGAAGGAGAGGAGCTACCTGATTTTAATTCGGCGGGTCCCGTTCGGCCGTCGGGATCCCCCCCTCGGCAGGGCCCTTTGCTTTTTGAAGTTGCTCTGCGCTTGGCCGTTGCATTGTGACACGGCGCCAGGAGGAGGAGAACTGAGGTGATCCCTCCGGCCAATCAGAGAGCTCGCCTGGCCTCAGCCGAACACTCAGCTTGGCAGGAAAGAGGCGGGGTCGGCGAAACGTGAGTATTTGGGTGGCGCTTTTGGAATGTTGTTTGCCGGAGCCTTTCGGGCACGTGTCGTGTAAACATCATTATTCGGAGGCCGGCGTGAAAAAACATCGCTGGGATCGTCGGAGGCGCTGGCTTAATGAGCAGGCGCGGAACCCAGAGGATTTTATATATTTACATACATACATACATACATACATACATACATACATACATACATATATATATATATATATATATATATATATATATATATATATGCACGCGTTAGAAAACGAGGTGATTTATTAGCCCTTCTAATTAAAATTATTAAAATTATTACATAATTAATTAAATTATTTGCGCTGCCCGGAAAAAAAAATAAAAGAAAACCGCCATACCTTTAAAAAAAATAGCAAATGAATTCCTCCATCCTGCCCGGGGGGCAGGCTTCTCTGCATTTTCAATTTAATAAAGGGTGAGAGTCTGGAGATCTGCCTTGTTGAACCCGATCTTTTATTCTCTTAGCCTCTCATAAAACGTGTCTACATACTCTGCAGTTTTGTATCCGGATTTTTCAAATCTGTTGAGTCGTTTTTGTAGAAGTGCACCAAATTTGGGCAGAAGAAATGTTGTGGATCTGCTTTTAAGAAGAGACTGGATGGTCACTTGTCTGAAATGGTATAGGATCTCCTGCTTGAATAGTGGGCTGGACTAGAAGACCTCCAAGGTCCCTTCCAGCTCTATTCTGATTGTAATTGATTGGTAATTTTAACAAGGCTTCTCTTCCCCACCCCCCAAGTGTTAAAAATCCTGCTATTGTTTGCTTGAGCAATCTCTCTCTTTAGTCTGATGTAAAAAAGGAAGCAAACCAAAGGCCCTTTTTCGGTTGTCTGGCATCAGATACTCCTAGAAAACTAACCTTGGTCGAAAAAGCAATTTTAGATAAACTGGTTTATCACCTCAGTGATAAAAACGAACGCAGAACAATCGAACATCTCTAGGTCGAAAGCAAGATGGGAAAAAAAAGTTGCCCTTAATATATTAGACAACAACTGGATGGATTATAAGAGAAAGCAATTCTCTCTTATAAATTTATGTATTGCCTGTTTTCACAAAGTTTTTGCTTATGATACGTTCAGGTGTGTCTCAGAAAAGTTCTGTGTTTCACAACAGGAAAAAATAGCTGCCTTTTAGGACACTCCTATGTATATAATCCACTCTTGAAATTGTGTTCAATAATTGGCAGGAGGAACTCTAGGCCATGAACTCTAGGTCTCTGGCACAATCTCATTTGTTCTCTATGCCATCCGTCTGGCAAACTCGCCAGATTCGTTTCTCTCACCATGTACGTGTATAGATCCGAATTAGCCTGTGTTGTTTCTCTGTATCATATAACATATGTGGGGGTGTATGCATAATTTTGTATTTATTTATTTATTTTGTCATGTTTATGTAGTGTATATTAGAGGTGGAGACCTGATTAGTGTACATTCAAAGTGACAGTAAAGTTATTCTAAGTCTAAGTCATTCTCAGTCTGTGGGACACGCCCACACCAGAGCCTCTGTGCCCCAGTGCCTAAGGGAAGTTTCTTTCTCTGCACGTACAATCAATAATTACTGATTTTTCCTGCTGCAAAAGTCATGGCCTTTCAAGAGTGATTCACTGGTTTTATATGTCCTTACTACATGAGACCATTCTTGTCTATCTTGATAGGATCTCTAGAAGCTTCATAAGATAGTGAATGTCTGTCTCAGACCTTCTACAAGAATCTGATTCAAGTTCATAATGACTAATTCCCAGTGAGAAGTCATACTGGCCAAGCAGATGGAAACTGAAGTCCATCAAAACCTGCAGGACCACTATTTTTAGAGGCAACTGGACTTGCTTGTTTTTCTTTGAAGACGTTTCGCTTCTCATCCAAGAAGCTTCTGAAGCTCTGAAGCTCTGAAACAAGCAAGTCCAGTTGCCTCCTGAAAAAGCACTTTTGGGGCAACCATGACCTGGATGATTGAGAATCTCTAAAGACACTAATTTTGGCCTCCTCCACATTTGAGGTTTCATAGAATATTTCAGCCTTCACAGTAGAGATAGTTTTCACTTACTATCAACCACAATCCTTACACTTCCTGTATCATAATTCCAGCCTACAGTTTAAAAATTTGAATATCCTGAAAACATGATACTGAGACAACATACTATGCCTGCTTATTCAGTTTAAGGTCTATACACGTACTTTAATTTAAGCATCACTCTGACCATCCAGAATTCATGTTTACTTAATTGCCAAAAATACCCATTAAGCCTTGAATACATTAATACACTTTAGTAAGCATAACTCCAATTTAAAATTTTACTTTTCAAGGTGAGTTAGGATTGGTAAATATACTTCTCGCCCCAAGTTACAGTTTAGCAGTTCTAGCTCTATAGATTTGGTGTAGCTCTGATCACATGTTTTGTATGGTTCCTGCTGTTAACTCAGGAAAGTGGTTTCTTAATCTGATTCTTCCTGTTATTGATGGATTGCAGCAGCAGAAGAAGAAACAAGTAAAAAGCAACAAAACCTATTGCTGGCATGTTATTGCAGGAAGAGAATGGGCAGGAATTGAGTGAACCCATTAAAAAAAAATCAGGATCTTAGGTAACATCCTCGTATGGTTCTGGGAATATTCATTTTCAAACATTAGACCCTTTAGCAATTCAGCACTTATAGCATGCATCATAACATTTTGTGCAGGCAGCCCTCGATTTACAAACATTCATTTAGTGACCATTTGAAGTTACAGCAGCACTAAAAAAAAAAGTGACTTATGATAGGTTTTCACACTTGCGACCATTGCAGCATCCCCATGGTCACGTAAGAAAAATCCAGGCACTTGGCAACTGGCATTATGGTATCCTGGGGTCATGTCATCACCATTTATATAACCTTCCCAGCCAGCTTCCCACAAGCAAAGTCAATGGGAGAAGCCAAATTCACTTAATGACTGCATAGTTCACTTAACAACTGCAATATTTGCTTAACAATTGTAACGAAAAAAAAATAGTGAAATAGGGCAAAACTCTCTTAACAATGGAAAATTTGGGCTCGGTTGTGGTCGTAAGTCAAGGACTACCTGTATCACCATTTTCACATAATAGGGTTTTAAAAAGCAAGCTTTTCAATACATTGATATACATGGTCAGCCTTAGCTAAACAGGATGCAAATGCACTTAGTTCTTCACCGTTTCGTAATTGGCCTATCCAGTTTCACTTGCAAATCATTTAAATCCAGAAAACAAATTCGGTCTCCCACATATTTCCCAAAGCTATCTTGATTTGCTTATTATAAAAATAAAAGAGGACATATAAACATATTTAAATACAATAGTGCTCTCGCCTGATTCCTTAGGTGGGAATCTTACGAAATAGTAGGTATTCCTTAGTCCATATTTCGTTGAAGTATTAATTTCTTCCTGGAATTCCTACTGCAGACTGGTTAATTGGTTGGGCTTGTCTTTATTTAAAATCATGGCGTGTCTATGTGCAGGGTGGATTTGATTTAAATCTAGTTGATTTAAATCACAATTTAAATCATGATTTAAATCACTAGTAAAAAGGCTTGATTTAAATCAACTCGATTTAAATCATAATTTTTAAAGAGCAACTGTCATCTCTGCTACTCTTTGACCCACTGTTGACTCACCGATAGTCCCAGTGTTGCAGAATATACAGCTTCATGCTACATAACTAAGCTCCATTTCATGCTGAATAAACTAAATTATTTATGTATCTTAAATAGAAAACTATCTTACGATAGATTTTTACCCCCAAAGTTTTTTATTAAAATAAATTCAATAAAAATCAAAAAAATCAATTTAAATCAAAAAAATCTGATTTTTTTGATTTTTTTAAAAAAATCATTGATTTTTATCCACCTGTCTGTGTGTATTACTGACTCGCTGAGTTATCTACTGAAGTTTTTCCCATTTGTGGGATGATCCTGTTTTCTTTTCAGATAGTTAATGTTCTTCATAAGTTACATAAGTTTATTTTGTCAAGCATATATAAGATAACAGGTAAAAGTATAAACCTAATTTGAATACATGAAAAGAGTAAGTAAAAAGGAATATTAGGACAGGGACGGTAGGCACACTGGTGCACTTATGCATGCCCCTTACAGACCTCTTAGGAATGGGGTGAGGTCAACAGTAGACAGTTTAAGGTTAAAGTTTTGGGGGTTTGGGGAAGAAACTACAGAGTCAGGTAATGGATTCCAGGCATTGACCACTCTGTTACTGAAGTCATATTTTCTGCAATCGAGTTTAGAACGGTTTACCTTGAGTTTGTATCTATTATTTGCTCGTGTATCGTTGTGGTTGAAGCTGAAGTAGTCATTGACAGGAAGTACATTCTTCCCTTGGTTCCCACATATTTCTCCTTAAATCGCAAGAACTGGATTTCCTTCCACCAGTCCTGACTTCCTATGTTTTGGGGAAAGGCTGTCATTCCCAGGTGGACTCTGATAATATCAAAAGTATTGAATTACAAGAGGACAAGAAAAGAAGAAAGAAAAAAACAACGGTTTGGTTGGATGGACTCCATTTTAACTCCTGCTCCAGTTAAAGGGTAGAGAAATTATCAAGTAAGAATAGCTAAAGGATTGAGAGTAAGAGATTGCATTTCGGTAGTTGGCTCTTTGCTTCCTCAAAAGGTGACAAATTCCCAGGGTAATGTTACAGGGTTTAGTTTCCTTCAAATGAGTCAGCACTGATGATTTACAGTAACCTTTTCATATGAGTTTTATTTATAGATGCAGAGGTCAGTGAAAAGAAGCAAACAACAGGCAGCAGAGTTGCTTTTCTCACCACAGACTTTTGAAAACCACCTGTGTCAGTCGTGTACAACCTAAGCCACAGCTCGGTTGGGGTTTTCACCCACACCTTGACAAATTAAAATGACCAAATTGGTCCAAACTATTCCACTCCTTCACCCTGATCAGTGGCTGTCACTGTCTGAAGACAGAATGTTCCGAAGTTATCAAGGATTCAGGCTGTCCTTTTGGCAAGCTTTTCCTCACTCAGTTGCTCCATTAGAGGCATTTTACCAGTTTGGTCAAGTGGCAAAAGCACCAGGCTAGAAACCAGGAGACTGCAAGTTCCAGTCCCACCTTAAGTATGAAAGCTGATTGGGTGACCCCGGACCAACCCTTCTCTCTTAGCCCACCCACCTCACGAGGCTGCTGTTTTTGGGGAAAATAGGAGGAGGAAGAAATATTAGATATGTTTGTATGTTGAGTTATTTATAAAAACAAGAAAGGCAAGATATAAAGAAATAAATAAATTAGGAATAGAATAGGAATAGGAATAGGGTAGAGTAGAGTAGAGTAGAGTAGAGTAGAATAGAATAGAATAGAATAGAATAGAATAGAATAGAATAGAATAGAATAGAATAGAATAGAATAGAACAAGAATAAGAATGTCCTCGATTTACAACACTTCATTAGTGACCGTTCGAAGTTACAGCGGCACTCAAAAAAGTGACTTATGACCACTTTTAACACTTACAACCATTGCAGCATCCTGATGGTCACGTGTTCCAAATTCAGGTGCTTGGCATCTGACTCATGACGGTTGCAGTGTCGTGAGTCATAGGATCACCCTTTGCGACCTTCTGACAAGCGAAGTCGATGGGGAAGCTGGATTCACTCAACAGTTGTGTTACTAATTTAATACCTGCAGTGATTCACTTAACAACCATGATAAGAAAGATTATATAAAATGGAGCAAAGCTCACAGAAAGTTTGGGCTCAATTGCGGTCATAAGTCGAGGACTACCTGTAGAATGGAACAGAACAACAGAACAGAACAGAACAGAACAGAATAGAATAGAATAGAATAGAATAGAATAGAATAGAATAGAATAGAATAGAATAGAATAATAGAGTTGGAAGGGACCTTGGAGGTCTTCTAGTCCAACCCCCTGCTCAAGCAGGAGACCCTATATCATTTCAGACAAATGGTTGTCCAGTCTGTTTTTGAAAGCTGCTTTCAAATGGGCTGGGGATAATGGACAGGCAAACCTATTAGGGTGGTGATGAGGATGGACCACTTTCAGGGAAGGTGGCCTCAATCTTTAATATCACTGTTGCTTTCCAATCCTTTGGACTCTGTCCCAAAGGCTGGTAACCAGGGCTCCACAGAACTTGATTTCTAGCAGCTGCTGCGTACTGTCCACTCAGCCTTAACAAAGCTGCCCTTGTCCACGACTTAATAGGGAATAAGATGGCGGGCCTTGTTTGCATTACTGAAATTGGACTGGGCCTGGGGGGACTTTCCCTCTTTGAGGTTTCCCAAGCTAGTTTTTGAGTGTGGCATTAACATGATGGTCCAGGCAGGTGTTATTCAATAAATTCAAAGGGGAGATTCCAGAGGAACTGGATATGAGGCCTTGTTTCTGAATTTGAGCTGATGGAATCAGAACAAACTTACTTACCATATGTTAAAAGTTTCCTGGCTGCATAGCAACCTCTCTACCTAAGCTGCTTGAATCTGTGCCAAGATTGGTAGTGGGGTTAATTCCCCAGCTTCTGTGGACTTCAATCAGCTATTCATGGGTCACTTTGGGTAGTGAGGTAGGTGGCATAAATAAAACTGAAAGGCATCTGGTGAGTTCATGATAACCATGATCCAAGCTATCTCTGGCCCAAACCACGGCCACACATTAGACTTTGTTTTTATCCAACAGCCAAGCCAATGTGATATAGAGTTGGAAGAGGAGTGGCATGGAGTTACCATCAATCCCTTATAAACGGATCACCCCTTGCTGGTTTTGGAGGTAGGACTTCTGCAACTGCTCCGGAATGCGGAGGCATGGGTAGATTTTGACATATCTCACTATACCCTTATAACGCTTTTGCTTTATAAAATAGAATAGAATTCTTTTATTAGCCAAGTGTGATTGGACACATAAGGAATTTGTCTCCGGTGCGTAAGCTTTCAGTGTACATTCAAGCACAAGTGATAAATCATCATAAAATGCAGTCATAAATCATAAGATACAACACTCAATGATAGCTATAGGATACTAAATAATTAACATAAATCATAATGGGATACTAAATAAAAGCAACATAAATCATGAGATACAAACAACAATGTTATAGTCATAAGAAGCTAGGAAATAGATAATAGGAAAGATGAAAAGGGTAATAGTAATACAGCCCTACTGGTTTGACATCTCGGGGCATAAGATAATGTTGTGGTAATTAGTTGTTAAGCAGAGTGATAGTATGGGGGGGGGGCACTGTCTTTGTGTCTGGTTGTTTGGTGTGCAGTGCCAAAATAGGCCAACTTGGAGCAATTAAAAGTTCCTGTTGTCACCTATAAAGCTCTGCTGGCAGGGGGGCACACTTCTAGTGGACTGATTTTTCTCCCATAGTTTTTGCTCACCCCATCAAATCTAGTAGAGTTGGCATGTCCTTCATCCTCTCTTATTAAACAGTGAGATCTTGTTGGACCAAGGAGTTGGGTCTTCTCTGTAGCAATGCCTTGGGGAACAGCATCCTCCCAGAGATCCACCCTGTTGACTCCAGGGTGGATGACTCCACCCTGTTAAGCTCTGAAGATTTAGCTGTTTTTCTTGGGCTCATAGATTAGCCTCTTGTTGTTGATGTGGTTTTATGATTGGTTTGTATTATCTATCTCGGGCATTATTAGTTATTGTTTGTTAATATTGAATTTTTAATGTCTGTAGGCTGCTCAAAGGATGGTGAGAAATGGGCAGCCTTATAAACCAAATAAAGTAGCATTATACAAGCAATATGATTTACAACCATTTGTTTAATAATGGTTTAAAGTTATGATGGTGAGTGACTAATGACCTGTATTCGCACTTCCTACCCTCACACTCCTCCCACAGTAATCGTAATTGGGGCGCTTGGCTGGCTCACATTTATGACCAGTTGCAGAATTCTGACGTCACATTACCACAATTAGTGATCTTTTTTACCAATTTCTGACAAAAAAAAATGTAACAAAAATGCAATTGCGGGAGCTGGGTTTCACTACTGCTGTAAAAATTGTCATAAAATCAGATCCAATTCGACCTACAACCGCAGCAGCTTACAACAGAAATTCTGGTCTCAGTTGTGATCATAAATCAAGGACTACCTGTACAATGGCAACAGATTATAGGGTTTGTTAAAACCACTATTGCATTTAGGTGCATATGGTTTTAATGTCAGTGTATCAAATAAAAATGGTAGAAATAGAAATAAAAAAATAGAAAAGGTGGTCATACAACAGTGGTACTAGCTACATGAGTCATAGTTTACATCCTGATTCAGCATTGGTACATAATTCGCCTCCAACATTTCCTAAGATTGAAAATGCACACAATGCCTTCAGTCAAGTAAGAGCAAAAATCAGTAATGTTCCCATATGTTTAGGGACAATTTGTATGTGTGTGCCTTCAAGTCAGTTATTGACTCCTGACTAGTTCCTGCAGTTTTCTTGACAAAGTAGAATTAGGAGAGTATATTATTAGGTAGGCAAGTACTGGTCTCCAGCTATTCTGTTCTTCCTTTTTGTGTCAGGCCCTCATCAAGATTGACTCTGGGGTTTGGCAGGCATGCAATGAGTAACCCAAATATTCCCTTGTTCGGTTTATAGAAATATTTTACAGGTAGTTCTCGGTTAATGACAATTGGGATTGGAATTTCCATACCTAACCTACACAGCAGTAAAACACAATGATGTGCATCACTTAGCAACAGCTGATCTGAGACATCAGACTTCCATTGCTAAGCAAATCATCATGGGTTGTTAAGCAAGGATGTCACCTGATTTCCACTTGAGACCTCCTGCTGGCTTCCCCACTGACTTTGCTTGTAAGAAGCCAGCAAAGAAGGCTACAAATGGTGACCATGTGACTGTGGAGCACTGCAGTGGTTGGAATTTTGAGGACCAATCATACCACTCCTTCAACACTGTCACAAGTTCAGATGGTCACTCAATAAGTGATTGTTAAGCAAGGGCCACTGTATTTTATGAGTGATGAAGCAATGGAGATTCATTATAATCCCACTTTCCAATAAAAAAAATATATTGAGAGCTGCTCAATGTTCATGCTTAAAAAAACAAAACAAAACCAAGGCCCTATATCTGATTGCTTAATAAGTAAGGCTTGGTTTAATATATTATACTTTTTTTAATGACTTGGCCAAGCTATATCCATCAAAAGAGAGGTCCATAATGTTCATATGGTTAATAAAATGCTGCGATATACTCAGTGGTGGGTTTCAAAAAATTTTACTACCGGTTCTGTGGACGTGGCTTGGTGGGCGTGGTTTGGCTTGGTGGGTGTGGCTTGGCTTGGTGGGCATGCAGGGGAAGGATACTGTAAAATCTCCATTCCCACCCCACTCCGGGGGAAGGATACTGTAAAATCTCCATTTCCTCCCAATCAGCTGGGACTTGGGAGGGGGAGAATAAATGGGGGCGTGGCCAGTCAGAATTTTTACTACCAGTTCTCCGAACTAAAAATTTCCGCTACCAGTTCTCCAGAACTGGTCAGAACCAGCTGAAACCCACCTCTGGATATACTTCTAACTCTGGTTAAAACTGAAATATTACCATGAAATATTTTAACATTGGGAATTTATGGCAGTTCTGTCCAATAAGATTTTTCATCAGTCAAATCACATCATTCTATCATCTGCATATAGATTTGGATTTCGATTTGTTTGTTTTCTTAGGTAAAAGGCATACCACAACAGCAAAGAGAGGAAAGGAAATGAAGGATTTCCAGAATATCTGCCAAGCAAAACTTTTTCCATCCTTTTTAAAGCCTTGAAGTTGACTTTGAGCTTCTAATAAGCCTTCACCAAACATCAAAGTTATCACTTATAAACGAAACATGATCAGAAGCATCAGTGCAATATCTTTGCTCTAACCTTGTCAGGCTTCTGTTCTGCTATATTCAGCATACAATAATTAAAACAAATGTTTTAAATCTATCCATATACAGTCAGGTCCAGAAATATTGGGACATCGACACAATTCTAACATCTTTGGCTCTATACACCACCACAATGGAGTTGGAATGAAACAAACACAATGTGTGTTAACTGCAGACTGTCAGCTTTAATTTGAGGGTATGTACATCCAACTCAGGTGAACGGTGTAGGACTTACAGCAGTTTGTATATGTGCCTCCCACTTGTTAAGGGACCAAAAGTAATGGGACAATTGGCTTCTCAGCTGTTCCATGGCCAGGTGTGTGATATTCCCTCATTACCCCAATTACAATGTGCACATAAAAGGCCCAGAGTTCATTTCAAGTGTGCTATTTGCATTTGGAATCTGTTGCTGTCAACTCTCAAGATAAGATCCAAAGAGCTGTCACTATCAGTGAAGCAAGCCATCATTAGGCTGAAGAAACAAAACAAACCCATCAGAGAGATAGCAAGAACATTAGGCGTGGCCAAAACAACTGTTTGAAACATTCTCAAAAAGAAGGAATGCACCAGTGAGCTCAGCAACACCAAAAGACCCGGGAGACCACGGAAAACAAGTGTGGTGGATGACCGAAGAATTCTTTCCCTGGTGAAGAAAACACCCTTCACAACAGTTGGCCAGATCAAGAACACTCTCTAGGAGGTAGGTGTATGTGTGTCAAAGTCAACAATCAAGAGAAGACTTCACCAGAGTGAATACAGAGGGTTCACCACAAGATGTAAACCATTGGTGAGCCTCAAAAACAGGAAGGCCAGATTAGAGTTTGCCAAACAACATCTAACAAAGCCTTCACAGTTCTGGAACAAGATCCTATGGACAGATGAGACCAAGATCAACTTGTACCAGAGTGATGGGAAGAGAAGAATATGGAGAAGGAAAGGAATTACTCATGATCCTAAGCATACCACCTCATCAGTGAAGCATGGTGGTGGTAGTGTCATGGCGTGGGCATATATGGCTGCCAATGGAACTGGTTCTCTTGTATTTATTGATGATGTGGCTGCTGACAAAAGCAGCAGGATGAATTCTGAAGTGTTTCGGCAATATTATCTGCTCACATTCAGCCAAATGCTGCAGAACTCATTGGACGGCGCTTCACAGTGCAGATGGACAGTGACCCAAAGCATACTGCAAAAGCAACCAAAGAGTTTTTGAAGGGACAGAAGTGGAATGTTATGCAATGGCCAAGTCTATCACCTGACTTGAATCCCATTGAGCATGCATTTCATTTGCTGAAGACAAAACTGAAGGGAAAATTCCCCAAGAACAAGCAGGAACTGAAGACAGTTGCAGTAGAGGCCTGGCAGAGCATCACCAGGGATGAAACCCAGCGTCTGGTGATGTCCATGCGTTCCAGACTTCAGGCTGTGATTGACTGCAAAGGATTTGCAACCAAGTATTAAGAAGGGAAAGTTTGATTTATGATTATTATTCTGTCCCGTTACTTTTGGTCCCTTAACAAGTGGGAGGCACATATGCAAACTGCTGTAAGTCCTACACCGTTCACCTGAGTTGGATGTACATACCCTCAAATTAAAGCTGACAGTCTGCAGTTAAAGCACATTGTGTTTGTTTCATTCCAACTCCATTGTGGTGGTGTATAGAGCCAAAGATGTTAGAATTGTGTCGATGTCCCAATATTTCTGGACCTGACTGTATACTACAGTACTAAAACTCTTCTTTCTGTAACTTTAACTGGGCAAAAAGTACATCACAGGGCAAAACTTTTTCAAACAAGGTACTTCAAATGGGTTAACTTAACAAATGTGCTCAAAATTCCAACTCCCATGGAATTGAAATTTGGCAAATTTTGTAAAACATTTTATGACATAAAATTATCATAAAGAGCATTTTTATGACATAATACAAAATATTTTAAAATATTTGCTGTGATCAATTCCTGATGTTTGATTGTGTTATATCTTCCTGAATTTTTAAGAACTATTCAAGTATATCAGAAGTGCTGCCATTGTTGAAAGTATTGAAGTATCTGGGAACGAAATTGTCTAGTAAATAAATAAAATCCAGAATAGGAGAAAATATTTTAAAGCCATTGAAATGTCTCAGAAACATTATTGAAAATTCATTTTCTTTTAATGTCCTCCATTTCAACCAATTATTACATTCCTGAATATAATAGTTGTTAATTCCTGAATATATCTCCTAGTGGTGCAGTTTATTCATAGGAATACCATTTAATTTACTTGGATACCCCAGTTTTACTTACTTAAAGATACATTTACTTATATATTTAACACCAATTCAAGAACAGTTGAAGTGTTTTTTGGAAAAGAGAGAGGTTGTCAGTTCCTATATTATAGTAGTTTGGAAGCAGGGCTTACTTAGTTTAGTAGGATTCACTTCCAAGGAAGTATGGATTGGATACTGGTGCTTATTCAGATCATTCATAACAACTTGGTTGTCACTTATCTTTTGTTATTTATGTTACTTGGGATACAGTGAAAATAAAATGTACGAAGATTTTGACACTCCCTATACTGTGTTTTCCCCAACCATACTTACCGCAAGAAAATCTATATATGTGCTCAAAACCACCCATCAATTATCTTTTGCATTCTTGTTGCAATGATAATAGCACAATCATATTTTCAAAGTATCTAAACCACAAAGATTAGAAACACAATTTCAAGCCTAGTACTTCTGAGAGTGCAAAGGATTTATTCCAGCTTTGTGATATAATCATATGTACATCAATCAATAATTCAGTTCAATTTATTGAGGTAAAAGACAAGTACAAATACTAAATAAAATTTAAGTCAAGAGTTAAAATATATCTGTAAAATAATCTAACTAGCTTTAATATGTGAAACCCAGGATGCAGTCTATGTTAAATTAAATTTTAATGTAAATGCTAAAATTATATTGTGTGATATATTTAAAATTACAACAAATAAAAGTTATCTATTAATATAATCGAAGTGGTAATAGCTAACATTTAAATGAATTATAGTTACAGGGGTCCTATGTACACATTTCCCTGAAAATATCCCATAAAATTCAGTGAGAATTCAGAATCCTAAATAAGAGAGAATGTTCAGAATTCATTAAGAGATCGATAGGATACAAACAAAAACTGGTTTAACATGCTTTTTGCTACTTCATAAGGCTGCACAAAATTATGATCGCATAATTTGTTCTCTCCAGATATTTTACCTCTGCCTCAGAAATGTGTTTCTAGATCTATGGACTTCATTCGTGTTCTTCTTGTTCTCGGGCATCTCTTCGATATACTGTGTGCAAATGTAGTTGATTCAGGGAAGCTCTGCATTTCAGAGAGCACCCCACTTCCATGCAAGGTGTTTGTCAGTTGCATCATTTGTTTATACCTGTCTAGAGATCTTGCGCAAGACCACTAGGCCTGTGTAGGTAAAGAGCTTTGCAAATAAGAATTTGGGCTTTCTTTTTCACTTTCTATAGTGTTTTTTTCTATTCTTTTTTTCTTCAATTCAAAGTCTGTGTTGTTTGTATTCTATTCACAGCTTCCTTAATAAAGTTATATATATATATATATATATTTAAAACTCTGTAGAATGTTACCTTAAGATTTTAAAAGCCTATCCTAAAGTGGTAAGCAGGCATTTCCAGTATACTGTACCCATAGTAACAAATTGGCAAGCAACAGATACCTTCGCTACCTCTCACTTCCAAAGAATTAAAGACTATCTACAAGGTTCTTCCTTTCTTCTACCATTTTATCATCACAGCAATCCTCAGGCATAGATTATACTGGCAGAAGATCAGTAGCCAAGGTCACTCAGTGAGCTTCATTCTGAGTGGGAGTTTTACATAAGTCTCTCTGATCCAAATCCAACCTTTTAAATAGCCTTGCAAGTTTAAGATCAATAGAAACTTCACACAACTCCACCCCAGCTTGCTACTACCCATTCACATTCTCAAGAGTAAACCCGTTTAGCAAAAGAATATACAAGTCCTACCCAGAAATCTGCGGAAATATCTGTATACATATTGGCTCCTTGGATGACCTCTTCATTCTGCCTCCATTACCTCCACATTCTCTAATCTAAGTATGGCCAAGCAAACATTTCAAGAGGTTGTCATGCGGGTGTCACATTGCCACACCCACTGCTCATCTGGGGGAAGAAAGAAAGCTTCCTTTAGCATTGTCCAGGATTACGCTGCATGAGCATCCTCACACAATATTACTAACTAGATTGCTAGCCCTCTGGATGTTTGATTATCCTGGTTTATCAAGAGCTGTTAGCAGATTTTAAACTACCAGCCTTTACTTCAGAAAAAGAAAAAGCCCGCAGAAAGGTGACTTCTGGCCTCCTGGTTTGGTTGCACATTAAAATGGCTACTTTGCATATTTTCAATTTGAGACACTGAAGACCTGCTACCACTTAAAGGACATGGCACTAAATTAGGATTAATTTCCTGTTTGAGTTCAAGAACTCAAAGCCATCAGCCACTTCTTCTATTGCAAGTTTTGTGCTAGTTGACATTATTCTTATCTTAATATTTAACATTCACCTGAATTGTTTAATGTCCATTTTTATTTTCACAATCTCTCATTTTTTCCCCACTTTAAGCACTTTCTATATATCTGAAACTTAGCATTTTGGTCTGTTTGACTCTTGAGTCTTCACTCCTGCCTTTCTTATAATGTATTCTCTGTGTAAATTAAACATAGAGACAAAATTCCTACTTGTTTCATTCCCCTTCTTATTCCAAACTGCTCTGTTTTTCCAAATTCAACCCTTATGTCTCATTCATTGTAAAGTTTCCTCAGAAAAATAAACACAATATGATATTAGAGTTCTGTCTTTTCAAATCCAATTCCGCATAAATGAATCCGGATTGCAGTTAGTCTCCTATTTTGACAGCCTGTTCTAATCTCTTACTATTTTAAGCAAGAGCATTCAATTTCA